GGTAGTCCTTTGACCTCCGTTTGTGTACTATGGCACAAACACATGAACACACACAGACATGCACAACCCCCCAAACATACACAAGATGAAGTAATATTTGATAGAGTTGGTACGTATCCCAATTTTCTAACTTGTATGTGTGAAGCTAGGAGTTGATTAGAGGTGGTATGTCCTGTTGACTCTTGCTGCCTTGAAGACAGTCCCTGTTCCCACCTCAGAAAATTCCCAAGGATGTGAGCTGGAGCCACTGGAGGCAGGCCTTGATTATCTCCCTACTTCCAGAGATTACTGTGTGTCTGAGTCTTAAGTCAGTTGTTTCTTAGGTATTGTGGAGAGGAGGGTAGCTGGTCGGATGACTGTTCAGAGACAGTACTTGGTGGAAAGTGAAATCTGCTAGCTGTTTTCCATCTGCTCTCAAAGCTGAGCAGCATCATTCTCAGAAAGCTGCATGCACACTTAGGCCTTCTGACGTTTCTGCTCCTCTGTGTCTCTTCCTTCAAGAACCTCTTTGTCCTTTAGCTTGGGCCCATTATGACACTCACTCATCCCTTACCTCTAGGGATATTTATGTAGCCTTTAGAATTTAATTATTGAGCTGGAGAGATGGTTCGGTGGTTAAGCTGCTTTTCCAGAGATCCTTAGTACAGTTCCCTGTAACCACATGGCAGCTCACAACTGTCTGTTTTGGAATCTGATACCCTCTTCTGGTGTATATACATACATGTAGTCAAAGCACCAATATACATAAAATATACCCCCCTTTTTTTTTTTTAAGAATTCAATTTTGAGGAAACAATCCTTCAGCTCCAAAGAATACCTCTTACCCTCACTTCTTCTTGTGAAAATAAAATAGATAAGCTTGACAGGAAATGACTGTGCGCTGGCATAGTTCCCCTTCCTTAGACAGCAGCTCGTGTGAAATAACGTAAGAGAATAAGGCATTGATCCTGCTTCCTGAGCTAATAATAAGGCCTTTGCCCCTCTGTCCCACATTTAAGATAAGGGAGTTAGACATCCCTCACTGAAGACAGCTGCTAACGGCCTCAGTGGCAGAGAGAAGCTGCGTCCCTCTGAGCTTCCTGCCTGCTACTAGTCAGTTGAGGCAACTCAGGCAAAGCAGTACTAAGTTCTTTTGAAAAGGTTATAGTAATTACACATAAGTTACACGTGCTTGTTTGTGCACATACTGTGTAGGTGTTGGACCCCAACATAGACGCTGGTCCTCTTATCACAGTCAGGGAAGCGTGGTGGGTCTTCTCCTCATGGCAGCATTACATTGGAACGTGCTGAGTAAATCAAAGGAAACTTCGTCTCACAGGTTGTGCTCAGTCATAAGTATCCAGAAATCCTACTAAGTAAGAATGCAAAGCCCCCCCCCCCCCCCGCATCCCACTCCCCCACTTTGGAGCATCTGTAGCTGCTCCACAGAGAAACAGAAATGTCCCTTTTGTAATTGGCCCCATATAGACATAGCCTTTCCCATTAGGAGTGTCTCCTGTCAGAGGTAGATTTTTTAAAAGTGATGAACCTGTGCTTGGTGGTGGTTGTGCATGCCTTTAATCCAGCACTGGGGGAGGTAGAGGCAGTTGCATCTCTGAGTTCAAGGCCATACTGCAACCTAGTCTACAGAGCAAGTTCTAGGACGGTCCAAAGCTACACAGAGAAACCTTGTCTCAAAACCAAAAAAATAAAAAAGGTTGAACCTGAGAATGGGGAGATGGCTTAGTTGGTAAAGCACTTGACTTGCAAGCATGAGAACCTAAGTTTGGGTCCCATCTAAAATTTAAATGATGCTATGACATATGCCTGCGATCCCACCAATGGCCAGATGAAAAGATAGAGGCAAGCAGATCTGTGACACTCCCGGTGAGCTAACCTACTCTACTTGGTAAAGTTCCAGTGAGACTCAAACAAAATGAATGTGTCTAAGGAATGACTTTGTGTGTGCATAAAAAATTTTTTTCTTTTATAGTGGTGAACCTGTGCTATAATCACACAAGATCCATAGTATAAGGACAGCTTCTGGTATACATTCTGAAATTTGGAGGGACCAGACAAGTGTACAGTGACATGTCTACCATGTATTAGTATCAGAAAGATTATTTATATTTTACTAGAGATCCTCTGTGCTCTAATTATCCCTCAGGTCTTGGCAGCTGCTATATTTTGTTGTTGTTTTGTTTTTTACTGTTTCTATAATTAACACCTTCATAGCAGATTTAATCATCCCAAAGCAAAATCCTTGAGAGAGATAGTTTGGGACTAGGTCAGAGTATTGGTGATGGAATTGTGTTTCTGACCTTCTCGAGGTCACCATTACATCCTTACACAATATTTGTTAAGGGCTAGGTTGGTTGTCTTCCTCAGTTCTTTACCTTATTTTTTGAGATAGGGTCTCTCGTTGATCCTGGAGCTGATATGCTACACTGGTGGTTAGAAAGCCCTAGGAATCCTGTTTTTACTCCCCAGTCTGGGAATGCCCGCATGTGTCATCCTTCCCAGGCCTTTTACATCCATCCATCCATCCATCTGTAAGTGAGGTTCTGGGGGATTGAACTTTATGCTTTCCCAACTGAACTATCTCCCACCCAGGAGCTTTTTTCTTGGGTCTTTTTCTGTTTACTCATAATGTGTGACTTTTCTAGGAAACTCTGATAGACAAAGGAAATAGTACATAAGTCTAAGACTCATACTCCCCTGTATGTCTGCTCTTCACAGTCTAGAACTGGTGTAGAGAAAGGCTTAGCGTGGTTCAGTCTGTCTTTGGGACTGGACTATACCACTTCTAGAAAGTTGATGCTGCAACGAGGGCGAGCGAGGCTCTGGGTCTGAACTATTTCATAGCCTTGGTTCAGGCACTCCTTTGGTCTTGTTTTTCTCAAAATATTTAACTGAACTTTTTGGTTTTTGAGACAGGGTCTTTCTGTGTAGCCTTGACTGCCGTGGAACTTGCTCTGTACACCAGGCTGTCCTTGAACTGAGTTCTGCCTGCCTCTGCTTCTTAAAAATAAATTATGTTTCATGTATGGGTGTTTTGTCTAAATATATATAGAGAAAGAGACCAGAAGAGGGCTTCAGATCCTTAGAAATAGAGTCAAAGACTGTTGTAAGCCACTATGTGGGTGCCGGGAACAAAACCTAGGTCCTTTGGAAGAACAGCCAGTGCTCTTAACTATCAAACAATATCTTCCTCAGCAGGTTCTTACATTTAAGCCTAAAAACCAGGGACTACTCTTTTTTTTGTCTTAGGTCCTACTTCAAGGTCTGCCCAGAGGAGCCCAGGCCAGGAAGAGGTTGTTTCTGGTTATCAGTTATCTTTCATGGTTCACAGTTCTTGCTGGACTAAATAAAGCTTTTTGCTAGAGCCAGGTCCGTTCCCCCCCTCCCCCACCCCCAGTTCATTGGCTCTGCCCTTAGGTAAGCTACAGAGCCTTGGTGTTTCCTTATTTCTGTTAAAGCAGTCTCATAAGCAGAATGGAAAGGCTTGCTCATGTCCAGAGAAAGGATTCTGAGAATCTTGGCGTTTCTTTCCCTAACTTCAGGCCCAGTTGGGTGATTCCTGTGACTGAACTTGAGCTAGCAGTGGGCATGTGTGTGGAAGCTGATCTCCTCGTTACTGACTCATAGACTTGCTCGTTAGTTGCTCGTTAGTTCTTCTATCGAGTGGTATTCTGGTGAAAGAGTGAGCTAAATGTAGTCTTAGAAAAGGGGTGGTCCTGTTTTCCTCCGCGTCCTTCACCCAGTCTTCAGGCAGAGTGAGGCCCTTCCCAGGACATCCGCCTGGACTCCTGTTCAGGACAGCAGCCTCCACCCTGTTTCCTATTTGGTTAAAGTCTAGAAGTCTGGCGATTGTGATAACGCTTTCAGTTCATCTCTTGTTTCCTCAGTCTACGGCCAGGGCTGACATTGTTTTTCAGGTTGGGATTTTTATCAGGGTTTTTACCCCTATAAACACATGCACAGGAGAATTCTTTTATAATGGATCTTTGAACCCTTATTGCGTTGCCTATCAGTTCTAGTTCCACCACTAGTTCCCTCCAGCCCGGAGTTGCATTGTGAGAGCCTCAGGAGCTCAGGGCCAGCTATCCCAGCTAACTGATCCTGGCTTCCGGAGAGACCATGCAGGGATGTTATTGAAAAGGGAGCTGTAGATGTCTGCCACAGATGTCTACTCCTCTGTTCTCACGGTGCTCACTCTGTTCTCTGTTGCTGGGATTCCCCTTTCATTGTGTTTGCCTGACCCTTGGGAAAGCAGTCTAGTAAAAGGAACGTGGAGTGAAGGTTTTGTCTAGTTTGCCTCTTGAGCAAATTACCTCACTTCCTGCCAGAGGTTCTTCTTTAAAATGGGGTGTGCTGTGAAGACACGAGCTTCAGCAGCGGGCTGAATGCTAGCGTGTTTCAGCTCCCCTAGTTATCCAGGTTATTTGCTACTTTCTCAGGATGACTGGCAACTCAAGAGCTAGCCTGTGCTCAGGTTCCTGGTTTTGTTGTTTGTTTGTTTTTGATAAAACAGTACTAGAGTGCTGGGGAAAGCTGTCCTCTCTTTCTTTCCCTATGGTACGGAGAGGATTTTCCTCTCTAGATGAATGCTCATTCACCTGCCATGGAGAGCAGCAGTGTAGTCTTATCCAGCCATGAGAGCAGGGTTGGAAGATGCTGTGTACTTGTTACATGTGTACTGTGGCAAAACTGGGGACCACTTCCTCTTGCACTGGAGGCCCTTACAGGGCAAAGGAAATGACATTACCAATTGAGAAAGTCCATGGTAGTAGGGTAGTAGCTGTGCCTCAGAGTGAGGTAACAGACTACATGGCTTCAGGCCAACTGCATAGCTTCCCATTGAGGCCACAGGAAATCCTCCAGAGATAACAGTTCTCCAGGCTAGAACCCGACCCCTAGCACTGGCGCTGCTGTGAGGATGGGACCTGCGCTGCTGCTATTTGAACTGTTTTGTGTCGTTTCTCTTGGTTGCTCATGTTAAAACTGCACTTTTTTTACAGGGATGCTTGAAGATGGAAAGAAATTTGATTCCTCTCGGGACAGAAACAAGCCTTTTAAGTTTATGCTAGGCAAGCAGGAGGTGATCCGAGGCTGGGAAGAAGGGGTAGCCCAGGTAGGCTCTCCTGTGCCTTGTTTCCTAGCATCTGCCTAACACACACATGTAACTCTCTGGGAGGGTCATTCTTGCTTTCTTTGCAAAGGTTTATTTTATCTGCATGAGGAATGTTTGCCTGCATGTATACGTACATATATATTACATCTGTGTCTCATACTCTCAGAGGTCAGAAGAGGATATTGGGTTCCCTGGAACTAGAATTAGAGATGGTTGTGAGCTGCCATGTGGGTGTTGGGAACTGAACCCAGGTAGGTCCTCGGCAAGAGCAGCCAGTGCTCTTACTGTTGAGCCATCTCTCCAGGCCCATGGGGTTTCTTGTATAGTTTAGCACACTTTCATTGCCTTTACCTGCACAAAATGGCCTGGAGTTTACTTTCTTTCATTAACTTTGACCATACCTGAACATGAGCAGACCCATACAGCTGAATGCTCTGTGCGGGGCATAGGTGCTATAGTTCAGTTAACCAAAACCCTAATGAAGGCCCGTTGAGTCTTTCCCAGTATTTTGGTAAGCAATACTGCATACCTGTCTTGCAGTCTTCATCTTAACATGTGTGCAGGTGTTACTGAAGGGCAAGTTCTAGAAAGTAGGCTCAGTTACAGCCTTTGTAGGGTTAATTATTCATCAGGTGGTGAAGAAGACACCTTACTTGGGTCATTTGTGTATAACAGAGAAGGGGTGGGGGAGGTAGATAGCCCCCCTCTCCATTTCTTGATTCTGGTTTGGCTCCATGTTTCCAGGTACAAGGTCCTGCTGCAGATGCAATTTCGGAAGATTCCATTTTCGTCTAAGAGTATCATGGCCATGTTTCCATGTTGTATCTTAAGCCCACTGGGAATCTTTCTTATGACTAATCCATTGTATGGGAATGTGTATGAGGGCATTATCCTTTGTCATGGGCATATATAGGTTGGTAGCAGAATATCTTAGAAAGTAATATTGTTGAGGAGATACCCTTTTAAAGATATCTTCTGTTTATTAGTATAAATATATAAATATTTTTACAAATAATAGCATATTATATGTTAACGTTGCCTGTTTCCCATAAAAATCAATCTTTTTTTAAGTCTCTCACTATAAGAATGTACGTATAAATGTGGTAGTGAACACCTATAATCTTAACTTAGGGCAACAGTATTACTGTTATTTTGAAGTCATCTTATACTACACTAGGTTACAGAGTGAGATCCTGCCCCCATCCACCATAAAAAGATTAAATATAGTACAGAATGGTAGACTGTTCTCAGAGTCGAATCTGTGCTGTTTTTGTTTAAGCCTTTTTTTTTTAAATCCAAGTACAGTCAGCCTTCTATGTACAGAGTTGCCACATCCTTGGATTAAATGAAAAAGTTGGATCTGTGTAAACACATGCCTTTCCCCCTTTTTAAAAAAAAATTTTTTTTATTTATTTATTATGTATACATTATTCTGTCTGCGTGTATTCCTGTAGGCCAGAAGAGGGCACTAGACCTCATTACAGATGGTTGTGAGCCACCATGTGGTTGCCAGGAATTGAACTCAGGACCTTTGGAAGAACAACCAATGCTCTTAACCACTGAGCCATCTCTCCAGCCCCTTTCCTCCTTTCTTAATTGTCCACATAGCGCAGCATGAGAACTATTTGTATAACATCAGTAAGTCCTAAAAAGTCAAGAGAGGTTTTTAATTGCCGTTGGGTCCCATCTCGTGTTAACTGCCAGCCTCCCAAGTTTTTCACAGTATGGTTGCTGCCTGCTGGATGGGCAGCTGTAGTCACTTGAGTGTCTTGGTCAACACTGTTCATGCCAGGGACACCCAGGAACCAGCTTGGCTTGTGGAAGGATTGGGAGTTTGTCCACCTGAGTTTAATCCTTGTTTTTTTCCTCACAGATGAGTGTGGGTCAGAGAGCCAAACTGACAATCTCCCCAGATTATGCCTATGGAGCGACTGGGCACCCAGGCATCATCCCACCACATGCCACTCTGGTCTTCGATGTGGAGCTTCTAAAACTGGAATGACAGAAGTGGCCTCCTCCCTTAGCTCCTTGCACATGGGTAAGAGTACTTAACGCTGAAGTACTTAACTGCTGCTCTGTTGTTAGGCCCAGTGTTTGGTAGAAGTGAGGACAGAAAAGACTATAGAGCCCCTCTCCCCTCTCTGGGACAGCCCATCATTGTAAAGCTGGCCATTCTAAGAACAGGATGGCGTGTTGCTGAGGAGCTTTTGGGGATGGCAGCTGTTTATATGTAGCTCTTTGAATTAAGTTCCTAGTGCTAGCATTTTAGACATTTAGAAGTAAAATTCTTTCTGGCCTTGTTCTGTCCTGTTCTTCTAGAAGCTAGTAAGAAAAACACTTTTGTAGGAGTAGCGTTAGCTTGAACAGCCTCAAGGAAGCAGCCTTGAGATCAGGCAGTCCTAGAGAGAGACCTTAGGGTCCCGAGTTGTTTTCCTGTCCCCTCTTTCTTTATTAGAACATTAAACTCAGCATACTAGTATGGCATTTTTCTTGTGACTTTTAGGATCTCTTTACACATGAATGTCACCCTTCCAGCTGACCTAGACTTTCCTGTTTGTTCTACCCCTAGAACCCAGAGGCCACAGCCAGGGACTGAGTGAGGATGCTTTTTGGAACCTCATTGTGTTGTCAGCATCGGGAGTGGGAGGGGCGGCCTCCTTCTGTTTTTAGCAAGCTAAACTTAATGTTAGGTTACCAGGAGAAAAGCCATATGAACCACTCATGGCAAGTCGACACAAGAAAGTTACTTGCCGGAAAACTGAGTCAATTCATCAGCTTTTTCCAGCTTTAAGAAGTTGCCTGGTTCAAGACCTCTCAGCTGCTCAGGACGGGACTTGACATGATAGATAATATTGTGACTGTCCACGCATAGAACAATGAGTTACTGGAACTCACAGATTTTCTGTCCCCCAACAGATCTGCCATGGAGGGATCTGGTACCTCCAGACGGGTGCACATGAATCCATGTGGAGCTTTTCCTGATGCCCACCACTCTTTGTATAGACACCTACCCGACTGAATGTGTTCCGTCACTCGGCTTTGCTTCGGACACCTCCATGTCCTCTTCCTTCTCTGTATGTGTGTTGACCTAAACTATATGCCACAAACCTCAAGTTATTTTGTTTTGGGGTGAAGATTCAATTTCAGTCTTTCAGATCTAGGTTTCCAATGAAGTATATTGTCAAGTATTAACAGCACAAGCGATGGGTTAACTTT